CCTACGTAAGACTTGAAACGCTGTTTGCGGAAGCATCGCAGAAGCACCTGCCAAGAAATCATTGCGGAAGGGTCTGTGGAAGCAAGATGTCTTGAAGTGCCGACCAAGAGGAAATCAGTCTTCGCGGAAGCTCCGCGGAAGCTCGCGGGCGGAAGGGTTGTTATTTCCAAAGAAATCAATAAGGAATAAAAACCACCGCCCATTAGGACCGGCAGGGCACGCCGCGCAGCAGGAGAGCATCAGGGACACCCTGGCGCACCGGATAAGGAGCCCTGCAGTATAGTCAACAATTGCTCACTTTCGCAACATATCAGGACATGTTGTTAGGATAAGATTGTTAACAACCATGCGATTTGGCGCACGTTATGTGCACAAGTAGCTCTGCAATGGGCCTGCTGTGAGTAACAACGACCAGCTTGGCCCGGCATGTTATGTGCCGTAGCTTGACCTCAACAACAGCAGTTAGGCCCAACCCCCTTTAGAGCCTTAACCCCGATCATCACCATGGATGCGCCGTCATCGAGCTCACAGCAGACCGGCTACACCCACGCCTACGCCCCAGAGCGCGCCAAGGCCATCTTGAAGACGCGCAACTCGAGGCTCACCGAGAAAGCGCTCGACTACATCGCACAGCGGACATCTTTGGAAAGGGCGGCGCTCAGGGGTCAGGAACACCTTCCCAGGGCTCAGCTCGGACGACCTCGTGCAGAAGTGGATTGACAGGCTCACCGGAACATCAGGCTGGACGAGGCAGCAGCAAATGCACACTGCAGCAGCAGCAACAACAACGACAGCAGCAGCAGCAGCAACAACAGCAACAACAACAACAACAACAACAACGACATCAACAGCAAAAGCCAACAGCCACAGCAAGCAGCAATAAAGCACCACCGTTAGAACAAAGCACCAAGCGCTAGCGCCCAGCGACCACAGCCAGCAGCAACTGCAGCAACATCAGCGAGCAACTTAGGGCAAGAGGAGAGCGCAAGCGGCAGGGGCAGCAGCAGCAGCAGCAGCAGCAGCGGCGGCGGCGGCGGCGGCGGCGGCGGCGGCGGTAGCAACAAAAAACAAAGAGCAGCAAGTGCGCGCTGCAACAGAAACAGTGGCAACAGCAGCAAGAAGCCACAGCCACAGAAAGCAGAAATGCATCACCGCCAGAACGCAGCACCAAGCAATAGCAGCCAGCAGCCACAACGAGCAGCAAGTGCAGCAGCGTCAGCCAGCAACTAACAGCAAATGAAAAACAGCAGAAACAGCAGCCAGCAGCAGCAAAGAATAAAGGCAGCAAGCAGCAGCAGCAGCAGCAGCAGCCGCAGCAGCCGCAGCAGCCGCAGCAGCAGCAGCAAAGAATAGCAGGCAGCAGCAACAAGAAGACGAAGCAAGCAACAAGCTGTAAGCAGCCAACAGCAACACTAGCAGCATAAGCAGCACTAGCAAGCAGCAATGTCATCAGCAAGAGTGACAAAAAAGTAAGCAAGCTGCAACCACAGCGGCCACAACGAGCAGCAGGTGCACACAGCAGGTACAGCATCAGTGGTGACAACGGCAGCAACAGGCCGCGCAGCAAGCTGCACTAAAGCATCGCCCCACGAACAAAGCACCCAGCCATAGCGGCCGGCCGCCACAAGCAGCAGCAAGTGCAGCAACATCAGCCAGAAATCAGCAACAGGCAGCAATTGAAGCAACGTTAGCCAGCAGCTGGCAACAAGCAGCAGCAGCAGCAGCAGCAGCAGCAGGAGTAGCAGCAGGAGCAGCAGCAGGAGCAGCAGCAACAAAGAACATATGCAGCAAGTTGCAGCCCCAGAGGCAGCAGGAGGC